GTTAGCATAAATCCCCCATTAAAGGAGAGAGAAAAGGTGGAAGCTCAAATCAGAGTCCATGAAGAAATGCCCAGAAAGAAAAGCTGGCCAAGAGGGGCCTGGGATCATTTGCAAATTGCAGCTTTTTCTGTGCAGCAAGATCTTGGTGCGCCCTGAATTGTGACATCAGCTGATTTTTCCACCTGAAAATCATATTAGAATTCATCTTCCACATTTTCAGTGGATCTGTCCTTTTCTTTTGCCCTGTTCTGTATTGCAGCAATGAAGAAAGACTCAAAATAAGTAAGTGAAAAGTAGGTCAACTCCAGACTGACTACGGCATGAGGAGGCATCTCAGCTTTGGTTACACCGTCCTTTGCCTCTCGGTTTATTGGGCTCTCTGCCACCGTGAGCCCTCTCTGCTTGCCTTCTTGACCGTTCCCCTCTTCCCAGCCCCTGTACGTAGCTCGCCTTGCCCCGTACGAACTGGCTGGTGGGTGGGCAGGCAGGTCTGAAGTTAAGAAATGACCCCCAGCTCAGGCCTCCGGAAAGATTTGCTCGTTCAAACTGCTTTTCTGCTTATTTCTCAAAGATAGCAGAGTGGGGGAAGTGATAGCCACCGTTGCCAAAACGGACTACTGCTCTTGGAAGTTAGCACATCTTTGCATTTCCCATGCCACCACAGCAAGCCAGCCAGTGGATGCTGGGACAGGGAACACATAAATAGCAGCATGTTCTTCTCCCATTAGAGATATCAATTCACCCTAGAAAGCTGGGCTAGGCTAGCATTTGCTTGCCCTGATTGGCAGCTCTCGCCCAGGGGAAGACCTCCCTCTTGTCCCCTACTGAGCCCCTTTTCAGGTGAAGAGGCCGGGACAGATCCTGGGATCATTTGCAGCCCCTCTTCCACTGAGCAAGGGTGGAAGGCAAGCGCCAGCTTACCTGGGGACACCGTGGGGACTGGGACCAGTGACGACTGGACAAGAGGGCCAGCCGGAGCTGCCAAAGTCAGCCACTGAGAATGCGATGAGGCATTTAAACTGAGGGTTCGAAAGGCCCAAGCAAACCTGTGGCTAACGGGGCTATTTGTTAGGGTGTGGGACTTTGTCACGGCTCCCATACATTAACCTGCCGGAGGTTAAGACAGGAGAACAAGGGACAGAGTGGCCCAACTTTGCACAGGCTGGTTTGGAATCGCACTGTTAGTGCACACCTGAGTGACCGTCGCCCACGTCTTCCTCGTACACCGTCCACTGGCTGCCTGTGCCGATCCACACCACGGAGATCAAGCCAGGTATGCGTCTTCTAAAATTAAGTTGCGTAAATAAGAAGGATGCAGTGCTATGCATATTGAGGCAGAAAAGCGTGGTGCAGTTCTTGCCGGCTGGGGAATGTCAGGTCTTACAGGTTGCTTTGCTCCTAAACATGTCTAGGGTTGCACCTGAAGCAGGGCATGGAGCCAGCCCAGGTCCTGTGACTTTCATGGCTCCCCGGAAGCCCATCCTCTAAAAAGGCCCATCTGACAAAGTAGCCAAGAACAAGTGCTGAGCATATTGAAGTATCTAGCATCTGTCAATGTTAGAACAGGGCCTTGTGGAGCTTTGAGGCACCTTGTTAAGCATCAGACTCGTCAGTTCTCAGGTCAGTGTTCCTGCCGAACTGGCATGTTTTGACATCTTGGATCTATCTGTTTCTCACTCGCCCACTGTCCTTTCTAAAATGTTTCAGCTTTTCACAAGCAGGACCCCTTTTATCCAACAACAGCATTTCCTTTGACATTTGCTTTGTTGGCCCTTGCTATCCCGTATTCAGAGACATGCTGCTTCTGTCTGCCAAGCCGGAAGGGCTGCCGTCTCCTAATGGATTTCTCCCTTGTCAATTTGATTCATCCTTGTTAACTGAGTGATCCTGTAATCCCTAGTGAGAACGTCCCATGAGATTTTGTAGATCTTCCCCTTGGGCAAAGAGGGAGACCCCTCCTTAAAGGCCCTCTCCCAGGTGGTGCAGAAAGGGCTGTGGCCATTGCCCTGCACAAGCAGGGCCCATCCAGTGTTGGCCCCCTAATGGCAGAGGGGAAGGAAAGGAGGTAGAGCCAAAGTCCCCATCCCAGCTGCCCCAACAATCCCCTGGAATATGGAGCAAAGTACATCTGCCCTGCAATCCACAAGAAGGAAAGCAGGGGGGCACTGAAAAAACAGGGGGAAAGAAGAGCACGCACGCACACACACAACGCACGCACACACACCTCCATTCTACCCTGACAGCATAAGCCCAGCTGGTTTGCGGCTTTGACAGTTCGTCTCACATTCAGTGGCATTTGGCCTCTCCCTCCCCCAGTCCCATAAGATTTGCGCTGCCTGACTTTATCAAACCAGAATTTATTACAGCATGCATGTTTATTGTTTTGTGTTGAATGGTTTGCAAACTGCCTTGGGTGTCGTCTGGCAGCAAGGTAGCCTAGAAATGCTATAAATAAATACATTTTAGAGTTGTGTGTTAGCATGAACGCCTGCACAAGGAAGTCTGGGAGGGCAGGGAGAAGAAGGTACGGCATTATGAACCATCTCTTCATAAATCCATGCGAGGAACCCTGGGCTGGGATCTCTCCATCATCCCTTTTGCTTAGTTCGGCTTGTGAGATGATCTGTGTATTTCTCTGTCACTTTAGCCAAACAGTGGGACAAATTTATTGGTTATTTGTAGGATTTTAATTTTTTTTAAGCCGAGATGCACTAGGTTTTAATATTTTTATTGTATAATTTTGTTCCTGTTGTAAGCCGCCCCGAGGCTTTGTTGCGATGGGGGTGGCAAAAAAATGTTTTAAATAAATAAAATAAATAAATATCACATGCGAAACAGGAGGGGGGAAACTTCCAGAGGCACTGGGGTGACGCGGGGATTACAGCAACATGCTGGCCAAAATTCCCCTAACAGAAGAACTGTGGGGTAGCAGAACTGCCCCTCACCTCTTTGCTGTGCCCAAATACTTTCTATCGCTCTTCGTTTTCTAGACATACATCATCTGAAGGCATTGCCAACAGAAAAGCAAAGAGAAAACAGACGTACTTGCGGATGTACTTCATCAATGTACTAATGAATGGCACTTTGCATGTGACCTGGGCCAGCTTGAGTCCAAGTGCTCGCTCAGTTTCGACTTGCCGTGAGCTAGTCCTGGTACTCTTGGCCTTCCCATCCTCTCGCTGTGATAAAGCGTGATGACCCCCACTTCCCCAGTGCCCGTACATTGTCCTCAACTTCGGGGGGAAAGGATGGGCTGTACCAATGTGGCAGATCAACTGATCAACCAAGAATAATGAGTGTCAATTAATAAATTATTACATCGGTGCTATGGGTACCACTTATTCCAAGAACACAGATAAAATCGAGGCGTGAGATAAAAATCACTTTGGTATCAAATTGACTCCTAAAAAACACACACAGTGTGCAAAAAGAATGTCCAAATTTGCAAAGACAGTTTACCTGCAGTGAAAGGCAGTTGTCAATATGCACGTGTTCTAAGGACAGTGCAAAATAAACCGCTTTCGAGAGAGAGAGAAAGATTGAGAGAGAGGGAGACCGTGAAAACTTACTTTAAAGAGCTTGATAAATGAAACGACTGTTTCAGTTAGGATTCTTTCTGTTTGCCTGTCTGTCTTATTCCACAATAGATTTTACAGTCCATGTGAATTCTTCTGACTGGGGAACTGCGTGCTTTAATATTAATCTTATTACAATCACTTGTTGACACTCACAGAACTGCTCTCGATTAATCAGTCTGCTTGAGGGTGAGAGGTAAAACCCTTACTTTCAGTCACTGAATTAAAAAAGCGAGCAATAACCGCACCACATCTTTGCAGGAAATGCAAGGAGAAAAGTGAACGGAGCTGCCAGGGAAAATAAAGATCTCTCCTGCTCAACAGTTTTCACGGGGACATGGAAGGACCCTGAGGCTTCTTCAGGCCTCTGGCTGGAAGGACGGAGGGGAGAGGCTGTTTTTTCTGGGCAATTTTTTCTGGGCAATTTTCTGGGCTCCAGTCCTACTCACTTTTACCTGGGAGGGAATCCCACTGAAATTCAGGGACTTACTCTAGAAATGACGTGCACCGGTTTGTATTATTCATCTGCCTTTACTGCTGGAAGAAACAGATCCATTCCCTTCCACTTGTTCTGTTAAGAGGGGAAATTTCAAGGACCACTGGCAGAAACTCGCAAAACACAGGTACTTCTGAAGCAGCGTTACTGTACCCCAAAGAGACATTAAAGAGGGCACGGTCTTAGTTCTTTTGCAGTCCCTTTTGCCCTTAATCCCCCACCCCCAAACAAGTACAGTGGTGCCACCTGACTTGATCTTCCTTTCTCACCTTATTTTCTTTTTTTAGATTGTAAGATGGGGAAGGGAGCAGAACTCCCTTTTCTTTTCCTAGTGCAACTCGAAATCATCCTGTGTGTTAAGGTCCAAACAACGGCACTGATGAGCAAAATACGAATAATAAAAAGGCAACAGTAGTGCTGGTGATGTTGATGCCAGTGGCCGAGAAGGTGTAATTCTTAGGAGGCTTGGACTGGGACTCCGGATCAGGGTTCTAGTCCTCATTTAGAAGCTCTCTGGGTGACTTACAGCCAGCCACTGGCATGCAGCCTACCCTACCTCACAGGGTTGTTGTGAAGCTAAAATAGCTAGGAGGATGGCCGTATGAGCTGCTTGGGGGGCGGGGGGAATAGAATAAAAACGGATGATGAATGAGTGAGTGGAATCGCCCATCCAGGCTGCAAAGAAACCAGTCAAAGAAACTTCTCCAACCCTCCAGAAAGTGCCACTTTTCTCAGCTTTGCCACATACCCAAATTCAGGGGGGTGGGGCTCCCGGGCGAACTTCGGGGCCGCTTAACCCTTCGCAGCCCGTCTCCGGCACCCTCCCCCACCGCGGCCACAAGCGCGGCGGGGGAAGGAGAGGGAGAGGAGCGGCGAGGCGAGCGCGGCGAGCGCGGCGAGGCGAGGCGGAGGGGCAGAGGCGGGCTTACCGCTCGAGCGCCGGACGATGTTCTCCAGGAACGTGTTCTGCGGTGCCACCAGCCCTCGCTTGCCCCCCGGCATCCTGCGCCTGCAGAGCCGGGCTCTGGAGCCAAGGGCGGGCAGCGGCGGGAGCGGCGGGGAGGGTCCCCGAAGGTCTCTTGAGCCCAGCGCCGTGCGGGAGTCGCTGTGGGAAGGCGTCCGAGGCAGTTCATGGTAGAAGCGCTCCGGCGGCCGCTGACGCCCCGACTGTGGCACCGCCGCGCTCGCCGCTCGGGAGCTGCAGCCTCCGAGGGGATTGCGCCTGCGCGCCCGCCCGGCCCTCGCGCTCGCCCTCGCCCTCGCCGCCGGCGCCGCTCCCTCGGCGGGCCGGCGGC